CGTTCAAGCACACTCTAATCCTCATATAAGGTTTCAGTTTCTCCCTGTTCTTAGGATCATCATAAATTATAAATTTGCCAATAAAATTACCAAGTTTTCTTGCCATCCCTAAATTGACCAAACTATAAGGAACATTATGAACCTGAATCTAGAACTCGGCCTCATTTAAGATAATCTTATGTGGGATATCATCCGACTTTAATTCTCTTAACAACAGCAAATTTTGTTCAAACTGCCATGGGCCCCCTTCAATAATTCGATTCATATCAAAGCGATGATTAAAAGTAAAGAGATACCTTTTTTCACCCAAATCTTTGAACGACATCCCCTTCCCTGGCTGCCATAGTGGCAACATGCATTCCTTGAGTGTTGAAAACTTTACCTGGCGATCTGTAAGCAGCACCCCAACCACTGGAAAGCCCGGTTTTGGCACCTCCGCCGGAATTGCCTCCTCATCGCCTCCATCCATGTCTAGAACTTCCTCCTCCGTTCCAAGACCCATCTGTTTGTATTTGTCCAACACCCCTTCCATCATTCCCGCACAGTCAGCGGTCTGCCGGAGATATACCTTCGCCTGCTTTACGACGAAAGAAAACAAAAACGCCAATTCCCGATCCTGACCACGTCCGAGCTTCAACCGACTGCCGAAAGGAATACACCAAAACAATCGGTAACTACCTACCAAAACACAAGCCCAAATCGTTGGTATTCCTAGGAGGATTCCGACGGAAAAAACAAATCCACACCCCACACGGCGGAAACCGTTGGCGGCGGGTAACCCCAGGACTAGAGCTCTAGAGAGAGAAGCTCCGCAAAAATTTGAACTCTGAATTTTTTCAATCATACTTTTAAATTGAATGAGTATTTTATTTTTCAAATTTACTAATTAAATTAATACGGAGTATAATGGTATGATTTATATAGTTTTATCTTTTCTTTTGATACATCTCACTAAAATTCTCTCATATCAAATTTAATAGTATGGGTGTTTTTAAATTGTTCCTACTTTACTCCCATAGTTGATACTTTACTCTCATTCAATCAACTAGAATTTTCAGCCCTGCGTTGCACGGGATAAATTTCCTAATTATTAACAAATTCTCTTTTTCTCTATACTCCGTATTATCTTTGTACTTTCTTTTTTAGTCTCTCAAGATTATCTATCACTCTTATCATTTGGGACGAAAGATGTGATATATTCTTTTAAATGAGATACATTAATATATATATGTAGGCATTTAAGTATGGTTATAGTTAATCTGGTCCATCTTATTTGAATCTATTTTAGCTTGTTTGATCTATTTTAACACGGTCTACTTAACCTGTCTTATCTACTTACTAGTACTACGACGCGCGATGCGCAAGGGAAAATGCCCAATACTATTTTAAGAAGGTTAACATACTAAAATGTTAATGGTTAGTATGTTTGAGTTGTTTGAAAGGGGCCTTCAAAATATCTTGGAGATCCAAGTGATTCAGACATTGAAGAAATCTACACAGAAGAGCCACCTGCAAAAGCATCAACTCAAAATACTCAATCTCAGGAGGGTCTGATTGGAAGTAACAATGAACTGCTGCAGGTATTCATCACTCAGATTGTCATAATAATGCAAAGGACCGGGTTGTTGATGACTATAAACTTCTGCAACTTATTCAAAGAAACACCTATGATCCAACATTGTCAGCTACGGGCCACTAGCTCACTGGCTGACGCCCTCTTCTCCCCTTGAGACCGTGGTGGTGAAATTCATCCTTTGTGGATGAAATCGGAGACCTGAGCTGGAAGAACCGTCTTCTAACAATATCTAACAGAGAATCGGAGAATTTCTTTTATGAAATCATTGAGTAGAAAGCCTCTGTACTCTTTAAAAGGTTTTGGTGGAGATCACTTGCACTTATCTATATTTCAAACATAATCCAATAAGAAAACAAGAGAAGGTAAGTTAATTAAAATATACGCAGTAAGTTTTACTCATTTTCTCATAGAAGTGATCTTCATGTAAGGGTGTACATTTTTTTTAATTTTCTTTACTAATTTGTCAGCAAAGAAATATTCTGAATTGAAATTTCTATCAACTTTAACACACACTGTATATATGAGGAACACAAATTTCCATTTCCATTTCCATGAGGATCTTCATTCTATCTCCAACTTTTATTTCCATTTCCAATATTCTTCATTCTATCGCAATTTAGGGTTTTAGAGAACTGACCGGGGATATCTTACATCAAATTTGGGTTCTATAGTTGTCTAATTGGAGGGCTTTCATGCAAATTAAGCTAAAAGCTTTATTGATTTCAAGATCGAGCTGTATATTCTCTACGATTATAGCTATTGTAAATCATATGTAATAGTGTAATAGAGTGATTGTAACCATATATGACTATTCCTGATTTCCTGTGGATCCGTATAAGTTATTGTTAGCAAATATTGTCATTGTGATATTTGTCGCAAATTATACCGTGCGACCGGCGCACCATGAGGATGGTGTGCCCGGTCGCAAAACGACACAGGTTCACCATCGTTCCCCCTCCCCAACAGCACTCTCCACCGTCATCTGGCCGCCTCAAACCTTCACAGACCCTAGACCTTGCCCATCCGCCTGCAGAATTGTTGCCACTCCTCAGATGGAGATTTTTGCTTCAGAGAAAGCCTTACCAAATGGAAAGAAGAGCAGTCCCAACTGACAAAAAAGGTTGCTTATATTATCAACAAACCCAAGCATCCTGAGATGAAAGGGGATGAAAATGGTTGGATCATAGAGAAGGCAACAAGGAAGCAAGTAATTGGTTAGTAAAGATGGTCTTTTTTTACAAAATGACTGAGTTATTGGGATGAAGTGCCATCTCTTAACTGAATTTGAATAAATTTGATACACAAGGGTTCATGTTTTGGAGTGATTCTTGGGGTTTGAAGTTTGAACCAGTCTATTTGCACTTCGTATCCTTCTTTTTATCTTAGGGGTATGCCTCTCGAAAAATAAACTAACAAAAAATTAAATACAAAAAATTTTGAAGTGGCTTTTCAAGATATTCTTAAGATGTAACTAAATATTAAATATTGCTTCCATAGTTTTAAAAAAATTGACTCCCAATTAACTGAACATATGATCTTTGGGTCCTAAGAACTGGAGAAACAAACCACGGAAACAGATCAATGTGAGGCTTCTGATGATTTCTCTGTATTAGTAGAATCTATAGAAGTATAGAACACAACAAACTTAATCCTGTCAATGAAATGGAAGAAGGTGCTTATAATCAACCAAAACAGTATTAGTGATCTGTAGAAGGTGCTTCTGATCCGCCAAAACATTATGAGGCTAATAATCTGCCACCAGTAAATGTAATAATGCGTCATTTACAGTGTTTGTACCGAAAAGTTGAGAGTAATGACCAGAGCACTACGCCTAGGTAATTGGACCCTAGTGGTGTAGAGCATAACGCCTTGGAACCCTAGCTAATTAAACCTTTACAATAAAAGTTGTTTATAAAGTGTCATGACCTTTTTAAGTGTAGTGATTATAAAAGTTCAAATTTAAATGGAAACTAATAATCCAACCTTTTAGCAGTCTTCTTACAATAGTCCCACCTTTTCGTTATTCAAGAATAATCCAACCTTTGCACCTCATCTTCATTCACTGGTCCCTGACCGGTTAAGGACCTGCTATTTCAAGTTATTTTTTTATCTTTGCAAAATATGATCTTTGTGAAAGGTGAGATTTATGGTATAATGGTTTGCAAAGATAAGAAAATAACTTGAAAAAACAGGTCATCAACCAGTCAGGGACCAGTGAATGAAAATGAGGTACAAAGGTTGGATTATTCATGAATAACGAAAAGGTGGGACTATTGTAAGAAGACCGCTAAAAGGTTGGATTATTAGTTTCCATTTTCCCTAATTTAAATTCATTTATTTATGATAAATGAATTTAAATTCATAATAATTTAAATTCATTTTTTACTTAAAAGCTAGACTATATTAGTAACCTATTTATGTGAATATTTCCTATAGTGGTTATATATTTTGAGTTATTTCAAAATTGAAATAGTCGGCTAGTCGCACACAAGAGCTCGCCTAAGCTAGGCCTCGTCATAGTGTCGAATCTAGTATATACATTTTGAGTATTGAGAATTATCAGCAATTAAAACTTTGAAAAACAATACTCATATAACATTTTATATATGTTTTTTTAAGGAAAAATTGATAGTAATAATCCCAACTATTGACGGTCCGCCCATAATAATCCCAAGTATCGATTATTTCAGAATAATCCCAACTTTAGGGACCTTCCGACAATAATAGTCCCTATAAATAAATTCTTGTAGTTTTTAAAGTGGATGAGAAGAGATATAACAAGTAATCCTTATAAATAATCCTAACTTTTAATTTTTACGCTTAATTTCTATTCAAAAATCACTTTTTGTAGGAGGTAATATCTGGTCATGGATCATTATTGGTAGACAGTCCATATAGTTGGGATTATTCAAAAATTATCAATAGTTGGGATTATTGTCGGCGAACCGGCAATAGTTGGGATTATTGTTTTCTATTTTTCCTTTTTTTTTATGTTAGAGATACATATGTATCTCTAGAGAAATCATCTCATCAGGCCGGCCTGACGGGCTTCCCCGTCCGGCCGAGCCCGTTTGGGCACCTTCCCGGTGGAATTTTTTGATGAAATTTTTTGAGCATGTTCCTCATCAAGTCTAGTTTGTCCATACCAAATTTCAGCTCAAAATTCGATCGGGAAGGTCGTCAAATGATTTTTGCAAGTTAACTGGTCCAGAATATGTATTTTCCGGACAACGACCTACAAAATGGCCAATTTGATCATTTTTTATCACTTCGTGGACCTAATTGATTCACAAAAAAGTACGAGAACTCAATTGACTTTTTCGTATAAGTACAGAGACCTATTTGACAGTTTTTCTTCTATTAAATATTACTCCTTTCATCCTACTAAGACTGCCATCTTTTCATTTCGAACTTTCAAAGATCATCTCAGAACAAATTTGATAAAATTTAAGTGATTCTAAATCATTTTTACATTAATAACGTGATATAATATGAGATGAATGAAGCGGGATGAATGAAGAAAAGACTGAGAATAAGTTGTAAAAAGTGAAATAGTTACACCTAGTCGCTTCTTTAAGCTAACATTGAGTCTTGACTTCACGAGTTTTGGGGATTATGAAATAGATGAATGTATCAACGAATAGGAACTTTAATCCAACCATTTGCAAAAGCAATGGCCAAGATCACAAATGGTGTTGCCATTCCGAAGAGGATGATATAAGGAAGAGGCGTCTTCATCGGATTCTCTCCTTCTCTTTCCCCTGCCGTTTGCCAATACCTTATCATTGTTATGTTCAAATCATTCTAATGTCAGGGTTCTGGACAAAAAATAGTAAGAAACTCAGCTTGGAGGTGTAAAAATTTGCAGGACTAAAACAAGTTTTTCGAATTACCAGCTTTGATCTTTAAATGTGACTAACCTCCAAAAGTTTAAATAATTCATATTTTCTTCTATCTAATCCTATTTCTTGGAAAGTTCGTCATAAAAAGGCATCTGGAGAAAATGTGGATAATTGTTTTGGTATGTTGGACGGTGTCAATAACATACTAAAGTGATAATAACATAAAAAAAAAGGTTGGTGACATACCATGTTTTCCAATTTTATTAATTGGTAAGTTATATTGTTTTGGTATGCATAGAGTTTTTGCCACTTTTGGAGTCCCGACTATTGTGTTCAAGGACGGACCTAGCCTTTGGGGTAGGGGGCCATGGCCCCTCCCAATTTTTCATTTTTTTGTATTTATTAGTGCATTTGTTGTAGGAGTGATTAAATGTTAATATATTTATTATAATATTCTCTTTTGAAGTGAAACATAGTACTAATTACGATTGCTAGATATATAACTTAAATTTATCATTTTATAAAGTCTAATTATATTAAAACTATTCAATTTATAAGACTTTTTTAAGCTTGAAAAGTGTGTGTGTGTGGGGGGGGGGGTCTTAGGAAACTATGAATAAATGGGATACATAAATTTGATAAAATATGATGAATTAACTTTGACGTGAGATGAATTTGATCTTATATTTCTATTTGTATAGTTAAAGACTAATATAATTAAGTATGCAAACAAATTTAATAATATCAATTATATTTAATTCTCTTTAAAATTTGTGTTGCAAAGCAAACAGAAAAATAATTTCCTAGTGATTACTTTTCTTTTCCTAAACATAATTCACACATGTAGTAAGAGATTGATTTTTGGAAATTAAACATCCACTACAATATATCTTAAGATATTGATACATTGTTTTGTTTTAGTTGTCCTACAAGATCTCAAATATTTCAAATTAATCATCAATTTTAATAAAATATGTTTATGTATTTACACGTTTTTGTTCCCGCCCGCCCCCCTTCTAGTGAAATCCTTGCTCTGCCCCTGATAGTGTTAGTGACACTTTTTGGTACTCGACTTTTTATTTTCTATATTAGTTCTCGACTATTGTGTGAGAAACACTTTTAGCCCTCGACTTTCAAGGTTTCCACATTTAGTCCCGTGAGTATCATCAAATTCACATTTTTAGTTCTTCTAGTTTGATTTTAATGCAATAAATAGAGGACTAAAAATGTCACTATTATAATAGTTGAAGGACTAAAAATGTCACTTTTATATGAATCGAATAAATAAATATGAAAATTTTCAAAGAAGAATAACAAAAGTGTCTTTCGCACAACACAAAGTGACCGGAAATGACTATTTACTATCTTGAAAAAACGAAGAAATACAGGGAATGACTAACCGGTAACCACTAAGGATGTGATTGAAATTTGCTGGTATGGTCTAAACTGATCTTGTAAGTATATCTGGTCTTTTTGTATTTTATAACTACGGAGTTCTAGTCTGGTCTGATTTGGTCTGAGACTTAAAACAGTCCAAAAGGACATCTTAATACTATTTTGACTTAAATTTTTTATTATAGATTTCTATTCCATAATGTTTTTTATCAAATTGGGCAGGAATCAAATTAGATGTGTTGGCAAAAAGAAGATAAGATTTGAGTGGTTGGTGGCAACTTACTGATCAGGTTCCTCTTCTCTAGTGATGAATTTCTTTTTCCCTCCCTTATTGAATCCACCTTCTCCTCCCCCTAATGAATTACAGTCAAATGAAAAAAAATTGCCAAGTTTTAGTAGGATTTGAATTAAGGAGCATGATATATTAACCAAAATATGCTAACTATATTTTTTTAAACAAAATATGCTAACTAAATTAAGTACGAACATGGTTTGTAATTAGAGTTAGCGATCGAGTTACAAACCTAAATTTGCAGAAACTATGTATCTGCGGGGAGCACCCCTTCTTCTTACAGAGCAAAGACTAAAATGGAGTGAAAAAGAAGGAAATGAATGTTTCGAAAGAGCATACACAGTGGAGAAGCAAGAAGAAGAAACCGCCATTTTTTGTTGATATGTTTATTCTATCTCACAGGAGAGGAATGATTGTTCTGCAGTATATGGCAATGCTATCCTGTTGTTGGTGAGGGACCGAGGTCCGTGAGGATAATAAGTTCTTGACACCTACAATTTCTCATTTTTATTAGGAAAATTTAACACTAATAATCCAACCTTTACCCGGTCTTCCCAAAACGATCCCAATTATTAATAATCCAAGAAAAATCCAACCTTTGTATTCTCTCTGCCCTAAACAGTCCGTGTGATCTCCAACCGGCTAAAAAGGTAAAACTTTTAACGCCAACACACATACCAAGCTACGGAAATACCTGTCTACGGAAACAAAGAAAAAACCTTCAACCAATACTTGTCTACGGAAGTCTGTCTACAGAGTAATAAGAAAAGTTGAAAGTTTCAGAACGGGAAGATGGATAGAATTGATGACTGAGTTTTACTGGTGCGGCTGCGTTGAGAATAGGTAAATTTTCGAATTCATACTCTCCAGAAATCGTTTCTAAATAGTTTCTTAATAGTTTGGCTCGCTGTGCAGTTAGTAAATTGTATACGTCCAAAAAATGTGAAAGTTAAGCTAGTTTCTTAATCATTTAAGTTCATGAACGTGTCATCTTATAATGTCCATCAGTATTGAATTTTGTCTACAACTGTAAAGCTCCATTAATTGAGTGTGTATTAAGTGTTTGATGAAATGCCACACCCATGCCTTTTAAAACTGTGTGGAAACTGAAACCAGATTTTGAGTAATAGTGAAGTCCATATTATTTAACTTGACTAAATAACACTGCCATAATAATTTTTTCAAGTAGTAAGTTTAGTTTATAATGATGTTGTTACTAATATTGAGAGTGTTTTACAAGTGTCATTGAAAAAGCTAAGTGATGTGGTGCAAGGTAATGCTAAATATGTTTTTATTCTTGTGTAGATGGCTGCAATGGACCGTGTAAACTTGATATTCTGGCATGAAAGTTAGGCGTGAAGGGTATTATTAAAACCTTAACCGGTATTACTTTTTAATAAACCCTTTAACAACCGGTAAATAATACGTTGGACCGTTTACGGAAGGGAGAATAGAAAGGTTGGTTTTTTCTTGAATTATTAATAAATGGGACCGTTTTGGGAAGACTGAGTAAAGGTTGGATTATTAGTGTTAAATTTTCCTTTTTATTATTTGGAATGATATCATTAACATTTTTTTTTAAAGAAAAATCGTTTGTATTAATATCATAGAGATTTGAATAGTTACAATGAATTTAAAGAGTCCAACATTGACAATAACTATTTATTATCAACTAGCACTATCAACCCTATAGTTAGATTTAGAAACGATCACCAAGGCCTGGTCTTGACATTTTATGAGACCGAAATAGTACAAATAGAGTAGGCCTTAGAGGACATGTGAATGCTCTTTTTTCTTGTAAAAACTATAATTAACATTAAGAAATTTTGTCATATAGATACGAATATAACACATCAAAGAAATTAATAAATGAGACGGTTAGATAGATTATATGAGTATTTAAGTATATTGATAAGTTACACAAATGTTCATGTCCGCAATTCCGGACAGGAACCGCCGTGCGGACGGAGTATTTAAGTATATTGATAAGTCACTTTCAATTAATTATTTAACAACATCTACATGTTACATGTCTAAAGTTTTGAAAAATCCACACCAAAATTCATTGAGAGCAAACTTCACAATTTGTTTAGTTCATTAAGGGTTAGTGCAAAAATATTAATCTTTCCATCTACATCTCTCATGTAAACTCATGATTTATTGATAGTAGTTTGTTAGTTTTATTTGATTCTCTCATGTGAGTGAAAGATTAAGTTATAGTATATAGAATTTGGACATTTTCAATTTGTTTTAGTCTAGTGAAAATGTTACTCCATATAGATACAATATAACTTCCATGTCTTTCCCTAATTCAATTTTTTTATTGGAAGTAACAATAATTGTAGTACTTATTTATTTGGCCGGTTAAGGTCTATAGTATTCTCGAATATAGCTTATCAGAGTACTCTTCCGGTCAGGAATTCGTGACCGGAACCGCCGTCCGGATGGCGGCGTTTGGCCGCCTTCCGGGTGGAATTTTTAGATGAAATTTTTATGGCATGTTCTCCATCAAGTCTAGTTTATCCACACAAAATTTCAGCCAAAAACTCATTCGGGAAGGTTGTCAAATAAGTTTTGCAAGTTAACTGGTCCGGAAAATACATATTCCGGACCAGTTAACTTGCAAAAATGATTTGACAACCTTCCCGATTGAGTTTTTGGCTGAATCTTTTTTTGGATACACTAGGCTTGATGGAGAACATGTCATAAAAATTTCATCAAAAAATTCCACCCGGAAGGCGGCCAAACGCCGCCATCCGGACGGCGGTTCCGGTCACGAATTCCTGACCGGAAGAGTACTCTGATAAGCTATATTCGAGAATACTATATACCTTAACCGGCCAAATAAATAAGTACTACAATTATTGTTACTTCCAATAAAAAAATTGAATTAGGGAAAGACATGGAAGTTATATTGTATCTATATGGAGTAACATTTTCACTAGACTAAAACAAATTGAAAATGTCCAAATTCTATATACTATAACTTAATCTTTCACTCACATGAGAGAATCAAATAAAACTAACAAACTACTATCAATAAATCATGAGTTTACATGAGAGATGTAGATGGAAAGATTAATATTTTTGCACTAACCCTTAATGAACTAAACAAATTGTGAAGTTTGCTCTCAATGAATTTTGGTGTGGATTTTTCAAAAATTTAGACATGTAACATGTAGATGTTGTTAAATAATTAATTGAAAGTATCAATATATTATAAGTTTTATTTTATATTTAAATTTTTATAGATATATAATGTATATATCATTAGAGTGCTTTCCTTATACATCTGTCCGCACCAAACTAGGGTTGCCAGATAGAGTAGATCCAGCAAAACGCGTTCGGGCAGCAGTCAAGCTGGACTCGGCCTAAGAGACAGCGGAAAAGAGTCGCGGCGGCGGAACAGTCGGCAGCGTTGGCGTCCATGTAAAAATTGGTGGGACCCAGGATGAAGACAGCGGCAAGTCTGACATGTCGAGTGGGACGGAGGTCATCTGCGGCGGCACAGACATGGTCGGTTGCTGCGCTCAGAACCATCGTGTCAAGCGCCGATGAGGTCATCATGGCGGTAGTGAGGAAGACACGGTGGCAGCGGCAGAAGCAGTCGAGGAGGCCATCGAAAAAAAACAATTATTATTGTCTAAACCCTAGAGCTTTTGATACCATGTAAGAATAATGGAATGACTTACCAAACTGGTAGCCCTAGGTGTCATATACGGAGTATATAATTAATAATGTTTTGAATACAATAGGAAACCTAATAAATATGGAAACCTAAGCTAATTAAAATATTAATTGCACTATTACTTTTATATGGATGATTTACCTTAATAGGAGCAAATAAAGCATGGCTTTCCCCCCAAAATAGGAATTGCTAGTTTAAACATGCTCAAATACGACATTTTTTTGTGATTGGACCAAAATACCCTCCCAAGCCTTTCCATTGCTGCCTCAGGGACTGCCGGACCGCCGATTGCTGGCCGCCATTGAAAAAATTTTCTAGAATGTTTCTTGGCGGCCTGACCCTCCACCAACTGACTGTCTTGGTTGTGCAAGGAAACTAGGTAGGCAATTATTTAGGTCAATTAATTATTTAAGTAGAATTAGGGGTAAAAAAGGTAATGTTAGTCCTATTTAGGGAAAAACATACATGTAGTACTATTTTGGGAAGAAGCTTGAAATTAGTCCTGTGTTGGACCATTTTCTCCTTTGCTATTCGGCCAATTAAATAAGAGCCACGAGATTCTTTCAACGGTGGAGATGGCTTGGTCATTAAAACTTGAAAGGGGTGTTTGTAAATTGTTACATGATTTTGTTTTCTCCGTATTACATCCTTGCGATGTTTCTAGATAAGAATAAAATTAGAATTATGTTTTTTACGTTGGTTGAAAAGAAACTGAAAGAATTAAAATAAATGTATCCATGGACGATTGAATTGAGACATAGAGTTAGAAATAAGAAGATGAACATTGTGTTTGAGACGTAGGTTACATACTTAAACCTATTGCTAATGAGGAATTTATTGAATTACATTCGGATTATATTAGCACACATGACTCATGCATTACTCGAACGACTCTATCGGCATGGAGATTGTGTTACATCAATTGGGTTGAAGTAGGTATATGGTAATATAAGCTTGGACCATATGCACAAGTTATTTTAGTCTCAAGTATTGGGCACTTGGACTTAAAATGGATTCAGGGCATATAATTTTCTCTCATTACAAACAAAGCCTTTTCACAAATATTCAAATTTTCATAAGAATCACAAAGATAGGAACTCTCCTCTCATTCCTCGAGATGTGACCAAGAAATTCATCCTCTGAGTATGTATTAAATGGGTAGCCAAAAAATCCCTCATAAGTAGAAGCTTCGTGATCATAGTAGTTGGCTCAAGAAGAACTAGTCAGACCAATCGTTGGCTCTTGTGCCTTTAACTTCTCATGAGCATCTTTCTTCGAAACCACCTGTGCATCAGTATCTCCCCCTTCATCATTAGAACCCATCTATAGATCATCCCGTTTACCCAAAATAGAGACAAAAGTTCTTTCAGATTCTGTGATAAAAAAAAAAAAGATAAAGCGAGTTCACTCCATTAGTCATAATACTATCAATGAATCATGAGGTTACATGAGAGAAGTAGATGGAAAGATTAATATTTTCGCACTAGCCCTTAATGAACAAAAGAAATTGTGAAGTTTACTCCCAATGAATTTTGGTGTGGATTTTTCAAAATTTTAGACTTGGAACATATAGATGTACTGTTGTTAAATAATGACTTGAAAGTATCAAAATATTATAAATTTTATTTTATTTTTAAATTTTTATAGATATATAATGTATATATAATTAGAGTGCTTTCCTTATACATCCGTCCGCACCAAACTAGGGTTGCCGGATAGAGTAGGTCCAACAAAACGCGCACGGGCAGCAGCAGTCAAGCTTGACTCGACCTGAGAG